AAGCAAAACTTTGACGCTCGCATGTAAATCTCACTCGCGAAAGGCATGCAAAAGTGTTGAGGGCGTAAAACCGCCGTGGCAAGAGCGCGGTGGGCCAGCAATGGCACTTAATGGAGTGGTTATAGGAGAGTTATTAGACAAGAGTCTGAGATTAATTGCGGTTAAGCCTCCTCGTTAAAGCCGCCTGAATAAGTTGAAATATAGCCCACGGTGACGATAAAGCAACGTTGTATTAATACACTATAATTTCTACACTCGTAAAGAATCTTTCTTTATTAAATTGTAGTCGCGCGCGCATATAAACATCGTCGCACATGACACCGTTCGAATGACATTATGCGCAAAAAATTTCATCGACGGTTCAGCGTTGAAATTTCTGCTTGCGTATAAATTAATTAAAATGATTAAAGAACGCAAGAGTGAAATATTAATATCCGTTTTTTGTATTTTTAATATTATTAATATTAATAACCTGCAACAAACATTTTCATCAAAAACTCAGCGATGCACAATTATTAAAAACATAATGCAATTAGTTAAATTCTAAAATAACTGCCACAGAAGCGTAGTTAATTATATATCGTTGAACATTCAATGCTTTGCAGTTTCCACATAAAATTTGCTGATAACAGTGAAACTGGATACCCATAAAATAATTCGGTCCAATAAATTAAGCCTTGTAATCGAAACCAACGTACTCTATTAAAGTTCCATGCAAATAGAACAGAACGTTAGAATGATATATGAACTCTATCTATTGAGTTTAAAAATGTATAGATATGTTAATAACTGCGTTATATCTTATATCTTATAAATAATGAATCCTTGCCAGGCAAGGTCGCGTTTGATCGAGAATAGTTCAACTTTTCCGCGCGCAGGCCGCGCGTTCCGAGATTCGAAGAGGCAGAAAGGCCCGTTGGAGATGCTTAATAAGCATTGTTGGCGGGGCCCGATCACGCCTAGGTAAGAGTTGAGGCCCGGAGCACATCCCACGGCCATCTACGCGAGCTGCCTACCTTTCTCAGGGAGCGTTCTCTTACCTTACGTAAGTTCGCGCGCTATAAACGAGGACGAATGGCGAGCAACGGCGGGATAGCCGAAGAGGAGGAAAGAGAGAAAAGTGGAACGGCGATAGACGGAGGAAGGACGGATGGGAACGAGAAGAGAAGGTGAATAGCGGAAGAGAAGAAAGGGCAGTGAAAGAAGAAACACGAAAGAGAGATGAAAGGTGAGCTGTGTCGAAGGAGAGAAGGACCGCAGGGGTCGTCTGGGATCTTCTAAAAATGATTCACAGCCTCCGGTAATTTACATTCGCTTGCGTGGGTGATCGTCGACTCTGAGAGTGGGAAAGGGAGGTGAAGAAGGATGGATAGAGGGGGGCCGCCGGCTAAACTCCTCTCTGCCGACTGCCATCGAAAAGGTTAAACATACACCCACTAGAGGTCACGTAACCATCGAAGAGAAAAACCGCTCGAGCTACCTCCCCTTCCCTTTGAGCGCAACCTATGGACGTCGTGTACATGTACTTTGCGCATGCAAAACGATGCACGACCCGCGAGGACAAAAGAGAGGAGAGAAACGGCAGAAATCCACTTTGGAGCCCGGACTGATTGGCAGGTCACACGTAAAAGATATCGATTCGTGCGAGACGTAGAATTATCGAGTTTGAAGGTATCGATTGCGAAATGTTCTGACCTCGCTAATCATGAAATTTGAAATGAGAAATTTTACTTTTGTATTAATTTTACCATCTAACATCTATGTTAACAATAATTTAATTGATTTATTACAAGTATATCGAGATGTTTGAAACTAAAAAAAAAAAAACATGCGTTGATGAACAATGATTCACCGGTCCCCTTCTCTCATCTCTCGCCAAAGAAAATTCGACGCCAAGCTTATCGTAGAATCCGTGGCACATCCCGCATGCTGTATACACGGTTACAGAATTTGCGCTTCGTCGTACGAACCGTCGCCTACACGAGAGAATAAAAGAGATGGAAGACAACGAAAAGCAAGCCGTACGGGGTGAGCAGGAGGGAGGGAGGAAGAATAAAAGCTGGACAGATAGGTGGAGGAGTGGAGCTCTCGCCTTCGGCACGGCACGACCCGTTTCAGAGACACGTAGGTTCGAACCAGAGGGTGAAGAGGAGCAGAGTGCCAGAAGGGGAGGCGGGAGAGGGGGGAGGGAGGGCTTCTCCCTAAAATATGTGGACCCACGGGCAACACTCGGACTCTTCTCGTTACATCGCGCTGAATGCTCCGGGCGTATACCGGTCCGCCATGCCGGCAGAGAGTCTGTATATATCGTATGATACAAAAACATCGCATTATTTTCCTCTCTCTCTGGACCGCGCAGCCTCACCCGCCTTCTTCTTGCTCTTCTCCTCCGCGAAGCGCCCGCGGGCATGTGACCACCATTATGCCCAACCTCCTCCTCCTCTGTCCCGATCTCTCCTACGTTCTCCTTCGCGTCCTCCTTCGCAACCACCTTCCTTCCTTGCGTCTTGTTCACTTCCTATCCCGCCGTTGGGATATCTTCTGCCTCGAATTACGTATCCGCTAAACGAGTCGAAACGAAAGCGCTGCTTGCCGCCGACCGCCGGCTAATTAATTGCTACGCGACGTTAGGCTTGACACTATCCTCTCCCACGTGTTTTCGAACTTTTTTTTTTTCAGAAATTAATTCGTCGCAAAGTAAAAGGTCGCGATGTATATGATTATTACATGTAATGCGTAACATGTATTACGTAAATACAGTAGCAAAAATAAGTTTTGTTTGCAGTAATGTTAAAACAGCGGATACTGAAACTTCAATAAAGTTAACGTAGAAATACTAAATAAAATTAATCAGAATGTGCTAATGAAATATATCAAGATAAAGCTGGTTAGAAATCAAGATGAAGTGTGAAAGCTAAATACAACGCCATGAACGATCACTTTTTCTCCTGTCGTGATAAAATCCATTTCAGAATATGCTGTTTCAGAAGATCGATCGATCTATCTATCCATCATGTTTAGGCAGTAGTTGCTCTACGAATTGGGTATCTACACACTCAATTTATCTTCTCACACTCAGGCGTGAAATACGTCTAATGTATCAATCATAATGAAAAATCTCATTGATACCACCTGTTTGTTTCTTTTCCATTTGAGTAATTAGCAGTCAGTTGAGACGAAATTGTTAACATCACTTAAAATCATGTTTTACTGTTGTTTACCAAGATATAAATAAATAGAATTTTGACAATTTTATTAAAAGAAGAGAACAGATTTCAATTAAATATGCCTAAGAATCTGTCATTAAAATTCGATTAATTTGTTTTCGATAAATTATGTGTAACATAACATATAATAATTATAACAGCCCTATGACTGTATCATGGACGAGAATGTCAGACACGCACTTTCGCTGCGCATTTTCCAAAAACTGTGGAATCGTCCTACGCGAGGATATTTAGGATGTCCCGTAATGGCCCGGCGGGCATACGCCTAAAGCAGAAACGAGCCGCGGACGCGATTCAGGCGAACGTTAAAATGAGTCTCGAAATGGCAAAGTCGCCCTTCCCCCGCTCGCGCCTGCTGGCCGGATCAACATATATACGAGCGTCACTTTGTCCCTGACGAAGTTGGCGTTTACGTATGCGAGCAACATCGTCCGGTGGGTTTGGAAGTGCCCGAGGCATTCTGGAACGATGTTGTCGGCCGTGGCCGTTTTGGCCCCGGGGCACCTCGAATACGACAGAGACCGAGGCCCGAGCGTCACTTGGTTCCCCTTATATCGGCTCTCGCCAACTGCTCCATTATTCTCAATGGCCGATGGCCAATCGCACGGACGAGGTACCAATTGTAGTTTTTACAAAGACGAAATTGCTGGCCGGCGCTAAAAATGTTTCACTTATTCAGTGACAATGTTGGCGCACAGGTGCGCCAATTTTTCAAAATTAACAAACACGGATAAAACTTTATAACTCTTTTTCAATTTTTTCATCGATATTCGATGTTGTAACTTTTAAACTATTAAACTCAAAGGAGTGTGTGTTAAACTGTGATAAAAACACATAGGTCACCGATACATTATTTCTGCCATTATTCCTAAGTTACGTGATATTATTGCATTGTGTTTATTCAATAGATCGAACTGCATTGTCGCTCTTATGGCGAAGATAATCCTAGTTACTCGGCTATTCACAACACTACTCTAATAGCCGATATTGTGAACGGATCGCGTATCAAGTACAAAGATCATATCGTACGGTCGAGAGACTTATCGAAAATTCCTATTATGTTCTACTTATACTGCAACTAAATAGCCGACAAATTTATCAAATATATACTATAATATAATCAATATTTGAATAAATTCATCATCTTTTAATAAACGTCTAACGCACGCGTCATCAAAAAATATTAGTCTTACAAATTCATATAAAATTTCATTGAGAAATATCAATATTATATCTATTTAATATAAATATTAATATTTATAATGATCTTATTATAAAAGTAAAGCATCAAAGTTGATTTCTACAAACTATTTAGCAACATGGAATAATAATTGCTATTCTAAAACCATACGTGAAATTTTGTCGCAAAATTTACATATGCGGATTATAGATCACTTAGAATGAGTTTAAAAATCGATACTGTGAAGTGGGCGAACATCTCTATCCGTACAGGAAGCGCATAGAAATGATAAACGTATCGAGCACAATCGCTATATCCTCCTACACAAATGGTCAAAGTGCACGTACGGTGGGGAGTGGAGACCGACGTGCGGCAACGAGTGCAGCCCGAGTGGAGAGAATCGTCGCAAGCTCGGGGCGCTTGTCGAAACGCCGTGAGCTCGTGAAACAGAGACGAGCCGATGTAGGTTGGTAGAAAGGACGAGAACGACAAGGATAATGAACAGCCAGTGGTGGAGATGGTAGCGGCGGTTGGTGGTGGTAGCGGAACCAGCGCGAGGACTGCAACGGCGGAGAGCACACGCAGTTCAACGAAAGCCGCGGTAGTGCGTGTGCGGTTCGTGTCATTTTTGTCTCTCGGTTGAAGACACGTGAATGCAACCACGTGGTTCAGTGCATGACACAAGAGCTGGAGCTACTCGCGAAAACTGCGCCTAGGTGACAGTGACAAGTTTTCGGAACCGCGACGGGACTCCGGGTTTCCGCAATCCGCAGCCGTGGACACGAGAACAACCGTCAACCTGGAGCCCACGTGTCAAAAACGGTGAGTGATTCACAATTTATCATTTATCCGTCTCGATCGTCTAGCGTTACGTAACATACATACGATTTATACACAAATTTCGAGCCACATGATAAACATTTTCACACGGATGGAATAAACGGACCAAACGTCGTGAAGCGAGAACTTTTCACACGACCTGCCTGTTTTTAAATTTCTCGGCAAATTGTTAAATTATAAAATGACTTGAATAATTATCTACTAAGAAGGCATCGATAAATCTACAACGTTGCGTACGCGGAAATGTCGAAGAACAAGCTGATCGCAGAATTAACGATTCAAACAGCGACGATTGCCTCGGCCGGCCGCCTATATGAAGTTAGCCCCCCATTTTTCGATTTTGAATATTTTTTTAGTTGTTCCAGGTTGTTCTACGTTTGTTCTATATTGTTCCAAAGTTATGAACAAAAAAATCGAAAAACATGACGGGAAAAGCAAAAAAACGATTTATTTTTGTGGCCACCCATTTTTTTTTAAATTCAAATTTTTTGCTGTTCTGGATTGTTCTAATTGTTCTAAACATTGTTCTAAAATATTAATCCCCCTAAAAAAGAATTTAAAAAGATATAGCAAAAAATAGCATTAAGCGTCCAAATAGTATTTTTACATTTATCGCTATTATTATATTATGTTTTGACACCAAATTACATATTTAAGCTAAAAACGAATAGAACAACCCAGAACAACTCTCAGTTTCACCAGAACAAACATATAAAAGGCACTTTACTCTTGAAGGTAGAGAATTATTTTGTCTTTTTCGACCGATAATGTTACACCAGCGACACTAAAACCTGGAACAATGAGAAATAGACACAGAACAATCCGGAACAACTCTCAGTTTTGTCAGAACAAACGTTTAAAGAACACTTTACTCTTGAAGGTAGAGAATTATTTTGTCTTTTTCGACCGATAATGTTACACCAGCGACACTAAAACCTGGAACAATGAGAAATAGACACAGAACAATCTGGAACAACTCTCAGTTTTGTCAGAACAAACGTTTAAAGAGCACTTTACTCTTAAAAGTAGAGAATTATTTTGTCTTTTTCGACCGATAATGTTACATTAGCGACACTAAAACCTAGAACAATGAGAAATAGACACAGAACAATCCGGAACAACTCTCAGTTTTGTCAAAACAAACGTATAAGGAGCACTTTACTCTTATATTTAAAAAAATAAAAAAATTCAAAAAAAACACTAATCGACACTAATCGCTGATGTAACATTATCGGTCGAAAAAGACAAAATAATTCTCTACCTTCAAGAGTAAAGTGCTCTTTAAACGTTTGTTCTGACAAAACTGAGAGTTGTTCCGGATTGTTCTGTGTCTATTTCTCATTGTTCTAGGTTTTTAGTGTCGCTGATGTAACATTATCGGTCGAAAAAGACAAAATAATTCTCTACCTTCAAGAGTAAAGTGCCTTTTATATGTTTGTTCTGGTGAAACTGAGAGTTGTTCTGGGTTGTTCTATTCGTTTTTAGCTTAAATATGTAATTTGGTGTCAAAACATAATATAATAATAGCGATAAATGTAAAAATACTATTTGGACGCTTAATGCTATTTTTTGCTATATCTTTTTAAATTCTTTTTCTCCGAGTCAGATTAATATTTTAGAACAATGTTTAGAACAATTAGAACAATCCAGAACAGCAAAAAAATTTGAATTTAAAAAAAATGGGTGGCCACAAAAATAAATCGTTTTTTTGCTTTTCCCGTCATGTTTTTTGATTTTTTTGTTCATAACTTTGGAACAATATAGAACAAACGTAGAACAACCTGGAACAACTAAAAAAATATTCAAAATCGAAAAATGGGGGGCTAACTTTATATAGGCCGGCCGGAGTTGTGATTGCACTATGATATAAACGTCGAGTATGATAATTAAACAACGAGAATTATTATCGTAAGATCGACAAGGATCGTAATTCGTAAGTTTGTTTCGCTCTTCACATCGTCAAGCTTATTCTGTGAATATAATTGTTATCATGTAATGAATTTATGGAGTTCGCGGTGCACATCATTCTAATGGAACTATTTAATCGTTTGCGTTACATAAAACTCGTTATTTTTCACTTTAACATTCGTTTATTCTTCAAAATTTTTATAAAACACTTGTTTTGTATTTTTATTAAAAACATTGTGTCGAAAACTTCTGAGTGAAGAAAGTTATCAACATTATAATATTGAATGGATCATAATTCGTTAATTTCATTTCACATTGTTAAGTTTGTCCCAAAGACATCACCGATACACAAAAAATGTCTAAAAAATCTTATGTGAACGAAACGTTAATTATTATTACGTATTTTTACTAAAGACTTTTTGTGGCGAATAGTGAAGAAAGTTATCATGATATTGACATGTATTAGTTGAAAATGCCTGGGGAAAACGCTCGTTGTTCTCATACAAAATATCTTTGAAACATCGCGTGACAAACTGATATTCATGTATGGAAATAGTGTACTTTCACGTAGTTAATTATGTCGCTGGTAGCCCGCGAGGTGCAGTCAAGCGTTTCGCTACGGAAAGTTCGAACGAAAGTACAAATGATTTTATTAATAGGAACAGACATTCCGGATTGAGAATCGATTAAGTATCGATTTAAGCAAGAAAGCCGTGTAACTAATTAGTTGATTTTAATCTTGTGTTAATTTATTTATGTCAGATTATTTATAAAATTATGTAATTTCTGTATAATAATTTTGCATAGAAAGATAAAATCTTATTATAATCGATTGTATTCGTCATCGTTTTTCAATTATAGATTGCAAATGTAAATTTTTCTACTTGATTATGCTATTGCTAAGAATTTTCCCATATCTCTTTCGCTTTCCAGAACTGAGACTTAAGGACCTTAATCTTTTAAACGTCCTTGTAACGTCTTTTAGATGTCTATTGCAGTAATTTTCCTTCGCGAGAGAATGCTACGACTGCTGCGGACATCGGACAATCATATACGCGCACGTCCGTGGGGCATTTTATACGATTGAGCTGAAGTTAAGTTGATAGAAAGTCAATCTGATCTCACGACACCGCGGGTAAAGAAAGTTTAATCTATGCCAGACGTCCGAGAGGGTGTCAATGCCTTTAGAAATGCATATGTATGTAGAAACGCGACGGGACAATGCAATTGCTCAATCATACGTCGCATTCCGCTATCATCGAACAATGGTTACGATCAATTATGCACCTCGTGTCGCGTCGCGAGTAATCACGCGCGATACAAAGAGAAGAGAAGGTTCCAAAGGAGGAAACTGTATAAAAGTTGGCACAACATTGGACTTCCATATAGAGACGAGTTGCGCGTTGTATCCTGACCAAAAGTAGAAATGACGACCTCACTATGTCAAAACGCACGTGAGCGTGTAGAAAAGCTTGATATAAATAAGGGTAAAGAAAATAACGGTAATTAAAAAATTCTTTCATATTATCTTTATCGTTTTTGGATGGAAAACTTGATAATTAAAATTTTTCATAATAACGTATTTCAAAAAATTATATGTCTATCATTTAAAGATATAAATAATGAAAAAAATTAATGTTCTGCTTATAACATTTTTAAATGCTACTGCAGTTGCAAGACTTGTATTGCATCAAGATTCGTGACTGATGGATCGAAGCACTTCTCGTCTTGACACAATAAGCTATGGAAGCCGGGAAGTAAATGTACCGGTTCGTTAAAGTAGCTGTGTACTTAAAATAATTGGCTATTATCCGTAAAAGATCAGATGAGTCAAAAAAAAAAAGTAAGATACGAATAAAATAAAGGTAGAATATTTTTTGTCTTTGACGCATAACATATCATAACGTAACATAATTATAAAAATGCAAATGATTACGGAAACGACTAATATTTTGCATATTTCATCAATAACACCATTAGAGTATCGTGCACTTTCTTTGATTCCATTTTTTTTTACTTTTCCTGAAATATCTCGGTATAATAATTGCGAAAAAATATGCATTTAAGATTTAGTTTAATAACAGAGTAGCGTTATTCGGTTAAAGTGCAATTTCGCTCATCAGATTAACATCACACAAAGTAACCGTTAATGTTGCAGTTGTGTAATCGTAATTTAATTGTTCAAAACTTCCGTGTAATAGTAAAAAGATACGTCTAATAGAAACACCATGAAACTCATATATTACATTAATTAACGCTCGGCAATCTGCGCATCATCCACTGCGTTAATTGTGAACTCCGTCGTTCAACGCGGCAAACTCTGTTTACTTCTTCGCGAACGCGCGAACATAGAGCCACAGAGGAAAAAAAATATATATAGACCGCGGAAACTTTTCAAAAATTGGTTGCAACGTAATAGTCGATGTACACCTCGAGCTACAAAAGGGAGGGAGCGAGAGAAGGAGCGCGCGGAACGCGGAGGATGAATGATAGAGAGGGAGAGAGAGAGAGAGAGAAAGAGATTGAGAGAGACGAGGGGCCGGAGGGGGAGGAGGATTGCTAGCATTTCAGAACGGATGTGGGCTCTGTGGAAATTGTGCTGGGATAGGAAAAGGGAGGTTGGAAACCGGCTGGAGGGATAGCCGGGGGCGCAGACGCGCGCTCTGCAGTTGCCGTAATTAGAACCGTGCGCCCTGAGCACATAGCCCGCGGCTGACGAGTCTCCTGCGGACCGAAATTATTCATGAAGCCGCGCCACCCACGGCGAAATTTTCTCGTAAATATTTTGCCTCGTCCGAGATATCGCCCCGAATGTACGTGTGCGTATGTTACGTACATACGTTTACGCGAGCGAGCGAACGAACGGGTCGTGCGCGCGTCCCGAGCTACCTTTGGTTCCGATCGGACTCATGCGGCCGTTCTATTATCATTATTTCAGTCGCGCGAATCAAAATCGAAAGATCGTTAAGATCGTGTTGGCAGAAGCTACAATCTCGATGGCTATTATTAGTACGTTCAACAATCACACGGAAAGAACTTTAATTGCCGCGCGTGTAATGAGAGCTTTTTTCTAT